CACTGACGCACGCCCATTGGCTTGGGGGGCGAAGATGGTTGATGACGTGGATGGCGCCGTCAAGGCTAAGAAGGCAAGTGGGTTGCACTGGGTTTCTGTGGTAGCGACGCTGTTCTGAAGCAAGTGCGGGTTCGTCCGCGGTACACTCTCCCGAGCTTTTTCTCTATAGAAAACTCTTGCAAAATCCTAAACTGCATAATCGAAAGGTATATGATATGAATGCTAGAAAACAAAGTGACTATCGGTACTTTTAGTCGCGGGTTCATACTGGCTGAAGTTTCGGCGGCTCTATCCAAAGAACTGTGGGGGGTTTTTTCTGTACGTCACCTTTTGCCGCCTGGGTGAGCTACCAGCATTCATCGCGGGATGGACTTCGGTTTTGGATGCGGTGTGCATCACGACGATCATTTGTCGTGCATGGAGTGAACACGTGGTACGTGCTTTCTCCTCCTTTTCTTTATTCGTGTCCTCTCCCATGCTGCTACTTCCAGAACCTTCTTTTCCGACGTTACCTGCCACCAGTACATGTCGTTACCGTTGATGCATCGCGATTCTGGAATGTGGATTATTAGCGATGAGTATGACTTCACGGCACTTTTGGCAGCATTTATATCCGTATTTATTCTGTGTTGCAATCTGCGGGTTAGTTTACAACTTTCATAGTATCATTTTTGGCTATTATAGCGATCTACTGGGCTATTTTTGATGTAATTGAGATTGAGCTCCCGACAGCTTGCAATAAATGCTTAGAGCTCCCGAATTCAAATGCCAACGTTTACGGCATACAAAGAGCAAGGTTCTCTTAAACGAAATATCTACGTGACACAATAAGGCCATCCTCCACATGAAATTCTCTGGCGTTTTTCCAACGTGGAACTTCGGTCATGCTGTAGAGAGTGTACTCAAATCTACCACATTTCCTCGGAAACTCCCTTTCACTTCTCAGAAGATAAATGTCCTGACGTATCCTATGCCTCCCCTAATCTAGGGGAAAAAATAATCCCTTCAAATTTTCTTTCCCTTCCTACAATAATCATGCTGAGAATCTACATATTTTATTGTAATGTATATATGTGAACGCAAACAAATGCGGAAAGTAAGGGAACAGTTTCGAAAATGAATAATTTAATTTTGTCCCTAGCCTGCGGAAAGGTCAGATGTCTTATGTACGGGCCCTGCTGCCCAATAGCGCACCAAACACCACCCCAGCCAGGGTCAACCGTCCGTTGGACAAAGTCCAACGCATGGCTCTCTAGCGTGTGAGAGTAATGCCGAGAGTGAACGTACGCACGGAGACACAGACGGCTCGCGCAAGGCGAGTGCGAATGCCGGCGCGGAGAGCGGTCAACGTCGGTCCAACGTCGGTCCAATGTCGGTCCAACGTAACGGTTGACCCTGCCACCACCTAACCACGTTTCCACGTGCTTAGCAAACGACCAACCTTTATCGAGTATCATAGTTAGGCAGTCCTCATCTACGTGTGTGATTAATACCTGATAAATTTGAAAATGATATACCTCTGTGGATGCTGATATCTAGCAAAACCGTGACCGGCTAGCAACACAGTACCGGGATTGGCACCTGAGGGAGTCAAGGAAGGCTCCACTTTATTGCGTACCTAGACTACTAGACTAGAATTAGTACCTAGACTGTCACAGAGGAAAATAGCTCTAGAACGACTATTGGTAGATTGGCCTGAGTACTGTATATGCCTAAGGCCGATGTCAGACTTTGCGAATCGCGCGATTCGCTAGCGTCCGCGGTCGCGTTGCGGTACCAGCCAATTGAGTGATTCACTGGCCGCGACGCGACCGCAGACGCTAGCGAATCGCGCGATTCGCAAAGTCTGACATCGGCCTAATACGGAAAAAATTGTCCAAACGTTGCCCGAATAGTTTCGTTTAATAACCCCTAGGAGTAGCAAAGGAAACACAATTTCACGTCTTCTGCTGTTAAACTTGGTGGGACCCACCTTTTTTAACATATGCACAGTCCACTGTGCGAAAAGCGGTATACATTGTGAAAGGAAACGAGAACCATCCATTTGAAGCTCAGAGGAGATCCTGCCATTTTAGTGACACTCTTTGTGGATCGCGTTTCAAAATGTTTTGTCCCAATGACCTCTGGCCCCACCTCTTACGTGAAGCAGAAGCCCTTTCTGTGTACGGTGCCTTAACGTCTACATTATAATTACTGCGTTATTGGCCTTATCGTAAGGCAATCATGTAATATGTGTAATATATTAGGCGGAGACAAGTCAAATTATCTTCTAACTACGCAAACTATCGAAATAAATAACGTATTTTCAGGTTGTAGGTA